CAGCTCCGATTCCACCTCCACCAGCTCAGATTCCACCTCCACCAGCTCAGATTCCACCTCCACCAGCTCAGATTCCACCTCCATCAGCTCCGATTCCACCTCCATCAGCTCCGATTCCACCTCCATCAGCTCCGATTCCACCTCCATCAGCTCCGATTCCACCTCCACCAGCTCAGATTCCACCTCCACCAGCTCAGATTCCACCTCCACCAGCTCAGATTCCACCTCCACCAGCTCAGATTCCACCTCCACCAGCTCAGATTCCACCTCCACCAGCTCAGATTCCACCTCCACCAGCTCAGATTCCACCTTCACCAGCTCAGATTCCACCTGCACCAGCTCAGATTCCACCTCCACCAGCTCAGATTCCACCTGCACCAGCTCAGATTCCACCTCCACCAGCTCAGATTCCACCTCCACCAGCTCAGATTCCACCTCCACCAGCTCAGATTCCACCTCCACCAGCTCAGATTCCACCTCCACCAGCTCAGATTCCACCTCCACCAGCTCCGATTCCACCTCCATCAGCTCCGATTCCACCTCCATCAGCTCCGATTCCACCTCCATCAGCTCCGATTCCACCTCCATCAGCTCCGATTCCACCTCCATCAGCTCCGATTCCACCTCCATCAGCTCCGATTCCACCTCCATCAGCTCCGATTCCACCTCCATCAGCTCCGATTCCACCTCCATCAGCTCCGATTCCACCTCCATCAGCTCCGATTCCACCTCCATCAGCTCCGATTCCACCTCCATCAGCTCCGATTCCACCTCCATCAGCTCCGATTCCACCTCCATCAGCTCCGATTCCACCTCCATCAGCTCCGATTCCACCTCCATCAGCTCCGATTCCACCTCCATCAGCTCCGATTCCACCTCCATCAGCTCCGATTCCACCTCCATCAGCTCCGATTCCACCTCCATCAGCTCCGATTCCACCTCCATCAGCTCCGATTCCACCTCCATCAGCTCCGATTCCACCTCCATCAGCTCCGATTCCACCTCCATCAGCTCCGATTCCACCTCCATCAGCTCCGAAAAAACCTCCATCAGCTCCGATTCCACCTCCATCAGCTCCGAAAAAACCTCCATCAGCTCCGATTCCACCTCCATCAGCTCCGAAAAAACCTCCATCAGCTCCGATTCCACCTCCATCAGCTCCGATTCCACCTCCATCAGCTCCGAAAAAACCTCCATCAGCTCCGATTCCACCTCCATCAGCTCCGAAAAAACCTCCATCAGCTCCGATTCCACCTCCATCAGCTCCGAAAAAACCTCCATCAGCTCCGATTCCACCTCCATCAGCTCCGAGAATATGTAGAAGCTCTTTAGCTGAATCACCAAGATTAGCTATGAAGTTGTCGATGTATTCCAAGATCCAGGTCCTGCCGCAAAAGCTCTAGTTCCAGCTGCTCCAATTTCAGCTTCACGACCATCACCTCCAGTTCCAATAGCTCCAGTTCCAGGACCCAGGTCCGGCTCCCAGAGCTCCAGCTCCGAGAGGTCTATCTCCCAGAGCTCCAGCTGAAGCTGGAGAACTGACGATTCTCACTGTTTCTCTCTGCCCTTATATGCAAAATCCAGGGAGATTCTTATCTTTTTGCTCTATTTTTTCACTTTTTGAAAAAAAAAAGATTTTCCGACACGTGATTTTTTTTTCTTCAAATATTTTTGATTTTTAAAAATGAGGGATCAATTTTTTCACGCCTGTCTTGTATTATAATTGCATTCTCTCCCGGGATCCTCTAGAGTCGACCTGCAGGCATGCAA